AATTTTGAGATGAGCTTTTACTTTGGGGGGGGGGGGGAGAAAAAAATGTAAAAACTCTTTATGATCCAACCCTTGAAAGACAGAGGATATTCAAACAATATCCTCTGCAATCAAAAAATATAGTTTTTGCTACTTAATAACATTTTGAAAGCTAAAGGAAAGTTGGGTGAAAAAAGAATGCATTTATTTACTTAGGCTAAGAGATCTGTCTGAATGGGAAGCATTTAGTTTGTTCATTTAAGCGGTCAGCTAGCCGAATGCAGATAAGCTCTTGAATATTTTGTACTGGACGTTTTCAAAAGTACCAAAAAAAAAATCTGATAAATCTTATATGTGAAATAAGTAGATATTACATATCTTACAGCTAATACCATTTTATTTACTGTTTATTTATATGGAATATTATTATTGTTATTCCTATTACTCAACTGAATGTAATATAATACAGGCAAGAAGAGCATGCTATAGGATGCTTCTATGCTAGTTATTATGATTCCGTGTCATTGTATGTTATGAAATACATTGCTCTCTCTCTCTCTGTCATACCAGAGGTGGGTTGCCGAACTGGCGGTGGTGGCGGCAGGAAGCTCCGCCCACCCTCCCGGATGCTTTTGTGCAGGCTCAGAAGCGTTGCACGCACGTGCGTGCACAAGCGAACCAGTAGTAAACCGGTTAGCCACTCACCACTGTTTCACACATACATTGTACGTGTGTGTCTGTGTGTGTGATGTGTGATGTGTGTGTGAGAGAGAGAGAGAAAGAGAGAGAGAAAGAAAGAGGGAAATTGTCTTAGTTATTTGCTTCTTTGTTATATATGTATATTTATATTTTTATTTGTTTGCTCAAGGAAAACAATAACATTTTAGTCATCATTCTATATAACAGGATTGGGCGGCATATAAATTTTATTAATAAATAAATAAACAAACAATCCAAACGTATGGTCTCTCCCCAATTCTCTTGGGTTGAAAGTAACGTAATCTGAAGCTTAAGTCAGCAGAATGTTGCGTTGCTTACTGACCCTGATCGTAATGAGTTTAAATAGATAACGTTGAATGAGCAAAATCAGCACTGATGTAATTTTTTTGTCTTCTTGCATCTTAATTACAACTGTTTTGTTGGGATGAAGAATTTTAAAACACAGACAAAGGACCAGGACAGAGTGTTTTAGGATTTCCAGTGTACATAAAACGAACGCAATGGACAATAGATAATGGATGTAATGATTATATTTGAATACGAAGATGACCTTCAACATTACCTTGAAGGTTACCACTTTAAGATTAAGCAAACTCAGGATGATAGTCCTAAAACTGCCCTCATCAAGCTGAACAGGCAATTCCTTTTCAGAGCATTTTGTTTTAATGGTTGAAAGAAAGGGCTACGTTATAATTTTACTTACTGGTTTGTCCTTAATAGTGGGACTTGATACACATAAATAAAGTTTACCATCTTCTTCTAGACAGGCGTCTATCAGAGCTTGGACAGAGCTTTCTTCCTGGAATAGCAGAAAAGCGTAACCTTGGAGGAAAAGAATAAAAGTTAGTCAACACACATTATAAAAAAACACAGCACAAACTAACTACAGATGTAACATTAAGGCTGTAAAATAACACGGCATTTTTACGACGTCTTCAAAAACACAGTGTCCCTGGACCCCAAACCATAACATTACAGGTAGTCCTTGTTTAGCAAACACAACTGGGACTGGCAACTTAGTGGTTAAGGAAGCGGTTGCTAAGTGAAAACACAATTGTCTTTCTGATCTTACTTCAGCTTATCTTCGCTTTATAGACTTGCAAAGATGGAAAATGCAAGGAAGGATCATTATTATTATTTTTTTATCACCATTGTAACTGTGAACAGTTGCTAAATGAGGCAGTTTTAACTAATTGCTGAACAGGGACTACGTGTAGTTATTTTTTCACGTTTTTACAATTCACGTATGATTACCTCGCCAATAAGCAATCATGAGGTTATCAAATGTTTAATTGAAATCAACATATAGCATGTCTATAGCATTCCTATAATTAAGAAAAATTGTTCAACCAATAATTAAATAAGGTGAGTCTGGCAAGGCACGCTCTTGGCAAATCCATCCTGACTTCATATATTTATTGCATTATTTTCAGGTTCTTATACATGAATGTGTTTATTCATTGCTCTAAGATTTTCTAAAGGTATCTATATAAGATTGAATGATCTATAGATTGCTGGATCTTCTTTTCATATTTTCAGACAGAGACAAGATTTGTTCTCTGCTCATTTGCTACTTAATTATTTATTCATAATTACTCAAGGATCACATATAAAAATTATAGCCAACTCCTTTGGTATTCTAGGATACAGTTTTTCTAGCCTAGTTTTTTTAAACTATTCGCTTCATAGTAGTAGCTTTCACAATTATCTATGTATCAAATATTTTCTTATTAAAGACAACTGAACCAAATTAGGAATTGGATAGTTCTGTGGTTTAGCTTTAGTTTTAAAAAGTCATCTGTGTACAACCACTTATATAATTCATAGCATTCCAATGTTCTATTTATAATTGTAAGTTAAAAGCTATGATTATGAGATTGGACATAATTTATTTTCCTTTAAGAATGTATTCATGTATATTTCATTTGTGATGTTTTTAGTAACATAATATTTACATAATAATAGAAATGATATTCTGTGAACTATATAATCGTTAGAATAATAGAAATTATATATAGCATATTTAACAGAGTAAATAGCATAATTAATGCATGTTATAAATTCATAATAATTAACTAGCACTATAATCTGCTGGTTAAATATAAAAAAAAGTCATCGTTTCCTTAGTAATCTTATAAGTAGGAAAGCCTGGTTTGAGATCATGCACAATAACAATATCCCAAGGGTAATATCAATAAATTTGATGGATTAATAAACAGGAGGTTGTTTGGGAACTAAAGGTTAAAATTTGAGCATCTGGAGATGTCTGGAAAAATCAAAAGATGTTAATTGTTTCAATAGATTAGAAAAAACATCAGCATTCTTATGGCATCCAGCAACTCAATAGCAGAATAAATAATTATATTCTAATTATAAACCGCCCGTAAGAATGTGAAACATGCAAAGGTAGTAGAGATTTGATTACTACAGTAATGCTGGCAATATTATTATTTGGCAGCTACTGTATATATTTATATGAGGAACTGATGCAATTTAGGTGAAGAAGCCAAAGAATAAGGGTAGAAACACCAGAATACCCCAGAGCTTTCAGTTTTTTCCAGTTACTATCTGGCTTCAAGTTAGTTGGAATTTTTCTCAAATATAACTGCTGAATGCCTTGTTTTAAACAAATGAACTACTTCATTGCACTGAAGGAGAGAGACATTTTGTTTTCAAACACAGAACTACCATACCCAACAAAGAAAAAATTATGAATCATATACAGATACGGTAGTCCTCACTTAACAACCGACCACTTTAATTTGTTATAACAAATCCCAAAAAGTTACTTATGACCCATCCTTGAAGTTAAAACTGCTATCATCCCCCACCCCACCACAGTCACATAATCACATTTCAAGAGTTTGGCAACCGGTTTGAATTTATAGTTAAGTTGCAGCATCCTGCATATCACATGACTTGCCATGAGTTTTGCCAGTTTTCAGCATTTTTTGCAAAAAAAAATTGCCCATTTTGAAGAGTGAATATGCTTAATGACCCCATGGTTCATGATTTGCTTAGTGTCTACGGTGACTCATTCTATGGTCATTATAAAAACAGTCATAAAATCAAGTCAGGACGTGTGGTGGCCCCACTTAATGACTGTAATGAATTACAATGCAAATTCCAGGCTCAATTGTGGAGACATGTTTTATGAACTTTAAATATGGACATCTAGCACTGAGAATTTTACTGAGGTATTACATACATAGTGGACTTCTTAGTTGAGCTAATCTCCCATCTAATGATGAGATCTTGCAATTCTGGGAATTCTAACAGAGTTTCTAATCATTAGGCTGTAAGGTGTCTGCTAAAATTCTGACAGCTCAGAAGTCAGTTATAAATAATCTGGAACAGTTGTAACAAAGTGTTTATCTCTTTCAGGCAGACATCCATGGGCAACTGGCAGGCACTTTGAAAGCTGTTTTTCATATTAGTGCCCTGGCAAAAAATAGAAAAGACTATATCCTTGCCTCCTGCTAAAATATATTTCACTCAAGAATGTTTTTAATAAACACAAGGGAGCACTGATTTAATCTTCCAAAATGCAGGATGCCTTGAGACTTCAGTAATTCTTTATTGGAGTTCTCCATTCCTAAGCCAAAGAAGTTAGATTATATTAGAAGGTATGAAGAAATTCAGTAATGCTATAACCAGAAAGAAAAAAATTGCACTAAAACAATTCTTCACCAAAGCACAGAAATTCCACTTTGCATATAGAAGTGGAATGTGATAAAATTTTAATATGTTGGAAAAACTTATGAAATGCTGCTGCTAGGAGTAAAGAATATTCCCTCGTTATTCTTGTATTTTCCTATGCTTCTAAAAGATAAAAATGCGGAACATTTCATAGTGTTTTAGGGAATACAGAAACCGCTGGCTTTCTCCTCTTCCTGGCACCTGAGCAGAATCTCTGTTAGATTATAATCTTTAGCACAAACAGAAAAGGTTAAACTGTTAATGAAAAGACAATACTGAAACTAATCCACGAATAATTAGTAATCAGCTGGTTAATTAGGAACTGAATGCATATTAGACCTCTGATAAAATAAAATTAAAAGGTTAGCATACTACAAATTAAATTTACAGGTTATTATATCAATAGCTTCATTTAAATAATCAAGGTAGTTTTAACTTTCTCATCCATAGATATTTTATACCGGTGGAGAAATTCATTTTTTTTTACTATCGGTTCTGTGGGCGTGGCTTGGTGGGTGTGGCAGGGGACGGATACTGCAAAAATATCCATTCCCAGCCCACTCTGGGACCAGCCAGAGATGGTATTTATCAGTTCTCTCAACTATTCAAAATTTCCGCTACCGGTTCTCCAGAACCTGTTGAATTTCACCCATTTTATAGCTATTGAAAGAGATAATTTCATTCTTCATCACAAGTAAATGCACTAGCATTTGCAAGAAAATTTTAAAGAAAGAGTGCTCTAAACATTAAAAAGTTACTGGGGTAAATGCAGTTGTTTTTAATAGTAATTATTATGTGCTAGGTTTTTGACAATTATTTTGACATTATTTTGATAAGGAAGTGTTTGGATATTTAAAAAAGTACAAAAACATTTGTATCCTTCACTCTGTGCTCTAATCACATTGTTTCTACAATAGGGAAGAACAGTCAGAATTGTACTTAGATGCAATTCTAGGATTGTGGAAAATGGTACAATTATGATTAAAAAGTGAGGTATTGATTGTCCTATCATGAATGTAACACCAATGTGTTTGTGTGAAATTACCAACCCAGTCTGGATAGGTATTATACAAAAGATTCAGATAACCCCAGGATATCCAGAAAAATGGTTATGAAACCACAGAAAACACAGTATTATTATGGCCAGAATTTTACTACAGGCATGCAACGGCATATTCAACCTTAGAACAGAAATAGTAACAAAAGTTATAGATGACAAGGAAGATGAAGCCAATATTTCAAACATTGAACAATGTAGTTATAAATGTATTTATACATGGAGAAGAACATTTTCCTGCTTCACGAAACTGAAATAATTACCTTTAGGTGGAAAATATGACTTGCTTTCAGCTTTGTGAGGCCAGTCCACCACAAGAGGTCCAAACCTACGAAAGCTAGCAGTGATTTCATCTACAACAAAAGAATAATTAAGATTCATCAGAAATAAAAATGAATGATAAAACCAGTGGTGGGTTTCAAAATTTTTTGGAACCTACTCTGTGGGTGTGGCCTGTTTTGTGGGAGTGGCTTGCCGACCATGTGACTGCGTGGGGGTGGCTTGCCGGCCATGTGACCAGATGGGAGTGGCCAAGATGATGTCAGCATTCCCAGTCAAGATAGAGGTATAAATTAAACAGATAAGAAAGAGGCATCCATACNAAGTTGTCAAGTCTGAGAAACGTTGATCTAAAGCAGTGTTCCTCAACCTTGGCAACTTGAAGATGTCTGGATTCAACTCCCAGAATTCCCCAGCCAGCGTTCGCTGGCTGGGGAATTCTGGGAGTTGAAGTCCAGACATCTTCAAGTTGCCAAGGTTGAGAAACACTGATCTAAAGGAAGGGATAACAAGTATCCAGCTTCCACGCAGAGGTTTTGCTAGTAGTAAATGGTAGGACAGGCAGAGGTGGAGATGAACTACACAAAATGATGCAGTGTTATTTTGTTTAATAGCAGCAACGGATGCTGTCCTTATGCCGTAAGAGGCCTAACACAAGAAAGGGAGAAATATACAAGCAGCTTGAAAAAAAGTGCTCAGATCAGGTAATAAGGGTTCCTATACATGCGTTGGGTAGCACTAACTATGAGAAACTTACACTGGATGGGTTACACTGTTAACATTATGGAGATACTATACAATTTCCTCCCTTTGTTCTGAATTACCATGTCAAGAGGCGCAAGGAAACGCAGCGTGAAGGGACAGGTTTAATAAATAAATAAAAAGCATGGCAGATCACCGAGAAGCCATTTGGGAGAGATTTAAAAGGGAATAGTTCAAAAGAAAAAAAGGATGGATGGATGGTTGGGTGCGGAAGAAGGGACTTAGCCAAGCCTTAATTGCTGCGTAGTTCCATTGCTATTTTTCACCCGTTCACCCATTGTGCCCATGGTAATAATGGTGAGGATGCTAAACAGCCGAGATTGTAAACCTGCTATTTCTACAGATTGGAGTGAATTACAACAGCAACGGTGTTTTATTTAACATTGGTGTTGTACGAATCTAGACAGCGAACTGGTACTGTGACATCCCTATTGTCTTCCTAAATCATTCTGATAAAGGAAAAAGCTTCTAAAAAAGTATCACATCGTTTCCCTGCTTCATTCTGTAATTTTATTGCCCAATTATTCATTACAGTTTTTTTCAATCGTTTCACATATCCAACCATTTTCACACCATTGTAAACCACATCAGCAAGTTAATACATAAAGCTTTGCATTTCAAAAAACTAGACACTTTAGTAACAATATTACAAAGGTTTTTTTTTAGCTTCAAAAATAACTGAAAATGAAAAAAATAAACTTTTAAAGAATTAGCATCATAAAATTAATTTATTCCAAGTAAAAATACAAAATAATATTAATGACATTGACCAGATATGAAAGCCTCTCCCACAAACGACTATATTAATGGTTGAGAAAAGCATTCCTTAAAGAAAATCCGAAATAAAAATGAAAAATATGTCAATGTTTAAATTTCTCTTAGCAAAAAATCTTTCTAAAAATAACAATGAAAATCTGTCTCAGTACAAAGGCTACGTTACTATTGAAAAAATACCAGCATGAAGAAAAAGGTACATATTTTGACAGTAGAAAAATGATCTTCGTGAATCACAATGTCTAAAGTTTGCAATGAAAATAAATTTGCAATAAAGATTTATGCCTTTTTTCTTTTTCCTTTTTCTTTTTTTATACAAACGGTACAAACAGTATTGCACATAACAACAAATAAGTCGAGGTTAAGTTGCTTTCAAAAAGAAAACCGACTAGTTCAAGTCTCGCACGGAGGGAAGGCCACGCGTGGGCCGGTGGTACCCAGGGGGGGGGCTCCTTCATCCAGTTGTAGTTCAGAACACTTTTGTTTTAAAAAATAACTTCTTTTCTCGAAGGACCCTCTTAGAATAACGGGGGTAAGATATATTAACAACCTGGGGGGGTGGGGGGGGCACATTCATTTACAAAACAAAAGGGGACCTTGTTATAATTTAATAAACTAAAAATTATCTTTAAAAAAATACAAACAGAAGAACTCTCACAATTCTGGTCAGTCGTGCATAATCGCTTGATTATAAATATACAAATTAAGGGCAAAACAGGTTTTCCACCTTCTGTTCACAACTTTCCAGCACCAAAGCAGTTTTTTTTTTTTTAAATTTCCTCGCTGTACTCATTTTAATCTCATTGTTTTACATAACTTTCCCCCCTTTTCTCCTTTCTTCCCAGCTATGTTTGTATGTGGAAAAGGGAGATTTCTTCATCAATGTTTTAATTGTTTCACATAATTAGGTAGACTTCGGTAGGATAGCTATGATCTTCAAACACAGTTATAAAGCTCTAACTTCTTCATTTTCAAAAACGCAAATAAGCATGAAAAAAATAAAGTTACCCATCTGTTAAATCATTTCCTCACAGAATTAAATTAATATATATTTTTTTTCTGAATAAACTTACTTAGAAAATATTTTCTTTCCTATATTTCAAAATTGAGGTATTGCAAAAGATCATGTCAGTCAGAAAGCATGCCTTTTTTTTCTTTTAAAAAACAATAATCTGCCAACTATTGAAAACTGTCTAGTTACAAAAAGTAGTGCATAACAAATCTTGTATAGATGAAAAAAAGAAAGGGAAAATAAGAAGAAAACCCCAAACGAATCGAAATAGATTGCTGGGCTAGATAAAGCAATATCAGAAAAATGCCCAGGAGAAATTGCAAAAAGGGATACCAAGAAGAATGAATTATTTTTAAACCAGTAAAAAACTATTTTTTTTTTCAACAGAGAAATATTTTCTCCCCCTCCCACCCGCAAGCCAATAATTCCAACCGAATACAAAAAGAAAATGTAGAAAGTTACAACATCAACAAGGCCATCACAACACTCAAAATGGGGACATTTCAACACCTACTAGGCGGCGCCATATCCAGTCAAGACTGTCCCCAGACTTCCAAAACTAGGGATGGGGTGGGGGGGCAGAGAAGGAACCCACAGAAAACCCAGAAAAAATAATGTACACATTCTCACATTTTCATAAATAGCACACCAACATGTGTTTATGCGTTTGCCTTGTAGCCCCATATTATATGCTAAAAAAATGTCCACTGTTCAGGTTAGATTTCAAATATATTCAAGCTTCACAGGATACATCCAGGATTTAAGAAATTAAATATCATACCCAAGTTTAATTTTTGTACGCAGACATTTCTTTAGCACCGCTATTCCCAATCAAAAAGGTGCCCCCGTTTTATCAGACGCAATCGAAGCTGGTAGTTTACATATGCTGGCGTGAGCTCTTTGGTTCCCTGGACATGGAGCCGCAGCTACATAAATAGCGCCAGCCTTTATGAGACAGGAACTAAGAGCTCAACACTTCTTTTGTGGGTGTGCATATGTACTTGTGTCTATGGTTGAACTTTCAAGAGAGTGTGAATGGTAGACATAGAGGCTTAAACAGTTAAGTTTGATCACAGTACTAGACATAATCACTTTACTATATATAAAATAAATTGCACAATATAGAGCAGAGCACCGCAAAGTACTTCGTCTATCATTCACAAATCTGTTTTAAGGATATTTCTACATCTATTCTTTTTTTAAAAAAATATCTTGTTGTAATATAGGTGATACGGCTACGGGCTGATTTTAATTTCAGAAGCATCTATATAGACTTAGTCATGCCTTCCTCCAGTCAGTAACCTGTGCGTATGTGTCTGTGTGTGCGCGTGTGTGTGTTTTAAATTATTTTATTGAGTACTTTGTAGCCTACATAGAATCTTAATTGGTACGCGGTGGGCAAGTTTTTGTATTCGACATCTATAAAAAAAAAATTATTGCATGCGTCAACCTGGTTATAAACATGCAGTCAAAACCATTGACCATCCTTGGAAGCGTTCCGAGTGCTCCACTGATCTTCTTTTCAGCAGCCATCACTGTTTTAAATCACACGCTTATCTTTTTTTCAACGATATACCCTAGCTTGAATAGAGTAATGTGGTATTAGTAATACCCTCTTAATAGCAGCAAAAGCTATTGCAGCATACACTTACATAACACTAAAAGGCCTAAACAAATAGGAAACCCTCAGCACAACAGAAAACGGGGTGGGGGAGGTGGGGCGGGTGTGGGGTGGAGAAAATGCGATCCGGCTTATGAGGTATCATCCTTATCATCAGTAAAAATAGAGAGCAACTAAATATCGTTTAGGGTTATTCCTACTCTGAATGATTGCTGAATATCCATTGTAAGTTTTTGCTACATCTGCCACCTCCTTGCAAGTGTTACCTTTGGTAAATCATGTGCTGGGGGGGCAAATCAAAGTTTCTGAAAATAAGTGCATGCTCCAGTTTCAAAATAAAAGTACATAATTTAAAAATAAAAATAAAAAGTCTTAATCACATATACACCAACCCAATGGAGGCTGATGAACCATAGATAGCAGTCTACTTATTGTTAGCCGTGACAAGTCTCCGGTAAGAAATTAAGGTACCAAGCAGATGTGTTTGTGTGAATCAAAGTGCAAAATCAGTACAGTTACACTCTGCTAGGCTTGTATTATACTGGACGTAGCGTTCAGTAATGTGACTGTAAATAATCATAATCATCATCATTATAATCATAACCATCATCATAATAAAAAGACCCATCTCTTCATTAAAGTCAAGGATGAATGCACAGATTTCCAGAACACCAAAAGCCCTGAGGCAGCACTCCGTTCCCCCTTCAATCCAGTTGGCTCCAGTACTGCTGGCCTTCGGCCCGGGCCTCAGCTCCAACGGAAGGGCACGTGGCGGGGCCGGTCGCCTCCTTCCTTCACGAGCGGCTTGTGGAACTCCCGTCCAGCCCGAGAATGAATGCTCGCCCAACAGTATTCACAGTAATACTGCAAGCAGGTAACATTGGCACAAAAGAACGGGGCAAATT